AAAAAAAGATATGAGTGTGGCATGTGTCATCTTGGGAGTCAAGATCTTAGAATGTTTGATGGATTAACACTTTCTTAGTCAAATTATATGGAAAGAATTCTTGAAATTTTCAAGAAATTTGATATAAAACTTGTAAAGACACCTTTGGATGCTCAATTTTCTTCAAATATGAGCGACAATATATCTCAATTAGAGTACTTTCGTATAATAGGAAGTTTAATGTATGCTATGAATCTTACAAAACTCAATATAGCATATGTAGTAAGTATGTTGCCCATTTGGATTCAAGCACCGTCGGGTCTCTTCTCGGTGTGAGTGTGTGGGGTGTGTTGCGACCGACTCGTCCTCCTGTTCCTTGGTTTTCTTTGGTTTGGTTCGGTGGGAACATTCCGAAGCATTCTTTCATTGCTTGGTTGGCGATGCGTGATCGAATTACTACGAGAGATCGCTTATGTCGATGGGACTCTTCCGTTCTTGCTTCCTGTATGTTTTGTGCTGGCATACAGTCCCGGAATCATCTATTCTTTGAGTGCCCCTTTAGTTGGGAGGTCTAGTCTGGCATGATTGCTTGGGCTAGTTCTTCTCACCAATTTCATATTAGTCTACTGAGCTTGCTTGAGTTTGTCACATTAGTGTCGAGAAGTCTACTTGTCGTCGTGTGTGGTGCTTGGCATGGACTTTGGCTGTTTCTTTTATCTGGAGGGAGCGTAATGCTAGAGTCCATGCGGGTGGGGTGGGTCGGTCGCCTTTTGTCCTCTTGCGCACCTTGAAAGCTGAGGTCTATTGTTGTACTACATGGCCTGGGAGCTACTTTTTGAGTTCGATCGTATGTTTATCTCGGTTTGGGATTTGTTTTCTTGATTTCCTTTTCTTTCTTCTTGTCTTGTGTTTGCCTTTTGAGTGTTATGCATTGATCTCGGGCTGTGAGAACTTCCATTTTTTTTTCTGTTTAATATATTTACCTTTGCAAAAAAGATATATAAATAATACAAGTCCATATCACTGGAAAATTCTTTTATGAATAAAACTAATTTTAATAAAAATAAAGAACCACAACTTTTGATGATAGAAAACGTCTTTTCTTAAGGACACAATCTTATATAAAAAGACAACTTTATACGAAAAGATGTGACTATTTGAATGACCACAAATAGTCTATAAATATATGGTTTTTTTTCAAGATTTAAATAGAGAAAAATCTTCTCTTAAAATTCTCTCTCTCTTTTCTCTATATGATTGCTTAAATACTAAAAGTTGGTTGAGTCCTATATGTGGATTGTTGCATTCATAGGTTGGTAATACGTGCTATCTTTGGAGACAATTGTTCATGAAATCTTGAGCACCATGAAAAGAATAAAATTGTCTTAAAAAAACAACACTAATGTTGGGTTTAGATTGTTTATTTTTGTGTTTCCTTAATTTATCTGCATATTGCTTTAACATTAACATCATAAGAATAAATGGCTCAATTTCATAAGAATAAATGGCTCAATTTCATACTCTTTCAGCTAAAAAAACAAACAAACAAAACAAACTTTTTGAGATAACTTTTACTAAATAATCTCTTTATTAACAAATATTTGTTAAATTTGAAAAGCAAATCTAATATCTGATTCTGTATCTTTTTTAAAATTTTGAAAAGAAAATCTAATATTAATTTTTCATTTAATTTTTTTCAAATTTGGTTTCCTGCTCGAGTGTTCAATAAGAATTTAAGAAAAGGAAAAGTTACGACAAGTTCGTTTGAGTCCTTTACCTGCTGAGGTGTGCTTTTACCTTCCTCACTGGAAATATGCTTGTAGGTGTTCCACTAAGGCTTTTCACGGGTTGGTTCGAGTCACCAGGTTGAATTTTTTTCCTTTGTCATTGAAACCTCAAACCTGTACGAGGCGAAAGGAAGAGTGATTGTGACGCTCGAGTAGAGAGGAGGAGTACATTAATAAACTGATATCGCATATGAATCAGAGGGATCTTGAGACCATGAAAGTATGGTTAAGAAAAGACTTTAAATTATTAATAATTACTACCTATACTAACAAGGTGCACCTTATTTCACTACAACAAAATAGAGTTTCAGAGATACCGTCGCAAATAACGCATCGATACTTTCAACGACACGTGCGTGCGTCAATAAAAATTATTTTCAGCGACATCGTCATGCGCCGCTGAAAATAGTTTCAACGACAACTGAATATGTCGCTAATAAAATTATCAGCCACCACCATATTTTGTCTAATATGACTAATTGCCTAAATTACCAGCTTTGATGTGATCATAATTGACCCAATGCTCCAAGATGCCACCTACACCAATAATGAACAGAGGCTTGAAGAAAGACCACCAAACGAAGGAAACTCCATTGGACCCAACAACAAATTTTGACCATTTTGAAGGCCAATGAAGAACCTACTAGGGTCAAAAGGAAGTGAGGAACGGAGGAGAAGCCAAGCGAGTGGCCGTCCATCAAGGACAACCCCATCGAGGGGCCACCCACACGCACGCCCAGTCAGGCTGACTCCACCGCGCGTGCGC